ATCTTTTGTATCATAAAATGTTGTTGTGTTGTGCCTGAAAATGTCGGGGGGGAGGGCGTACGGAAACCTAGCAAATTACATATGAGAAAACAATTTCTTGGTCCTGTATGAAAATGACAATAATATATATACAAACACAAGACAGCAAACAAGTTGCAGTCATGGAACAAAGAAGGGACGGGAGATTGATACTTTTTCCACTGCCCTTGCAACCTCTTCTTCTTTGTGGAAATTCATTTACGTTTACAAGCAGTGCAAATGTGTACATAACACATGATTTGCATGCCATGCCTTTGCTATATAATATTGAGTTTATTTTATTTAAATAAAGAGCAATTATGAATAAAGAGTTGTGGCCAGAGATCACATATTCAAGCTACTCTCTAATTAATGGAGCAAAGTAAGGGCAGGAGATTGATCTTCTTCCCACTGCCCCTTCAAGGGCACATAAACCCAATGCTAGAGCTGGCCAGCGTCCTACACTCCAAAGGCTTCTACATAACCATCATGCACACCCACTTCAACTCTCTCAACCCTTCAAGCTATCCACACTTCACCTTCCACTCAATTCCCGATGGCTTATCCGAAAGCGAAGCCTCCACGAAGGACATTGTCCTCCTGATTTCTCTTCTTAATGTTAAATGCGTTGAGCCTTTCAGGGCAGCCTTGGCTGACTTGTTATCTAATGTTTCCAAGGAGCCTGTTGCTTGCTTGATCGCTGACCTCCGCTTTCACTTCACTCAATCTGTTGCTGAAAGCTTCAAGCTCCCAAGGATGTTGTTAAGGTGCGACTTCCTTACTTGTTTATACTCAGTTTCCACTTCTGCATGAAAAGGGCTACCTCCCCAAGCAAGGTGTGTGTTTTCTAAGTAATTCTTTCATTTCTTGGTTAATCGGTTGCGAACTTCAAACTTGTACCTAACATTTGAACACCTTTCTATTTTGGGCATTAGATTCTCGACTTGAAGAGCCAGTGGTAGAGTTTCCACCTCTCAAAGTCAAAGACCTTCCTGTAATCCATACGCTGGATCCAGAAAAATATTATCAACTAGTAGCTGGCCGCCTGAAAACGGAAGTTAAGGCCTCATCTGGACTCATTTTCAACTCTTTTGAAGACCTTGAAGGAAATTCACTTGCCACAATTCGACAAGAATTCCCCGTTCCAATTTTCCCAATTGGCCCTTATCAGAAACGTTTCACCGCAGCCTCTTCCTCAAGCAGCTTATTAAGTTTATCACACGACCAAAGTTGCATTTCATGGCTTAACACTCAAGCACCAAAATCTGTGGTCTATGTTAGTTTTGGGAGCCTTGCAACCCTAAACGAAGCTAAGTTTTTGGAGATAGCTTGGGGGCTAGCCAACAGCAACCAGCCCTTCTTGTGGGTGGTTCGATCCGGATTAGTACATGGCCCAGACCCATTTCCTGGTGGGTTTTTGGAGGGTTTGAATGGGAGGGGCCACATTGTGAAGTGGCCGCCACAGAAACAAGTGCTGGCCCATCCAGCTGTTGGAGTGTTTTTCAGTCACAATGGTTGGAACTCTACACTGGAGAGCATCTGTGAAGGGATCCCTATGATTTGCATGCCATGTTCTGCTGACCAGATGATGAATGCAAGATATGTAAGCGATGTTTGGAAGGTAGGGTTGCAGTTGGAGCATGGGGTTGAGAGAAATGAGATTGCAAAAACAATCAGAAAGCTGATGCTGGAGAAACAAGGAGAAGATATCAAAGACACAGCCTTGAAGCTAATGGAGAAGGCAACTCTTTGCTTCAAAGAAGCTGGCTCTTCATACCAATCTTTGGACAGCCTGGTTAAACATATTTTATCAATAACATCCTTCGCTTTTGGAAGGCAGAGTGAGTGATCCCTCGTTTTTCAAACCCCTTCAATTAAATCATGAATTTGTTTGTATGTGTCCTTGTATTACAAAACCAGAAGCGAACAGCAAACAGATTGAAAGTGAGGCTCTGTTTCCCTTTTCCTTTATTATGGAATGTAGTTTTGTTGCCTTTTGCGTTTTAATAAAAGGGTAAACTGCGGAATACCCCTGAGCTATCACGCTTGTCAAAATTTCCACTATGAACTTTTTTTCCTGTCAATTTAGCCCTCATACTAAATTTTATTGCCAATTTACCCCCACAATTAGTTTTTGGCAATTTCCATCCAAATCTCTGTTAAAAAAGTATCATGTTAGGCATATGCTTCACTGTTGGATCAAATTTTTTTTCTTTTCTTTCTTAGTTCTTTAAAGAGCTCGAATGAGGGAGATATAAGGGGGGTGGGAGGAGGGGGGGATGGGTCTATGGGTGGTGGTTAGGAAATGGGGGGC